TGGCCACCCTGCCTGGTCCAGGTTTCACGCTACCATCCTCTTATTGCGTTACATAAAATGTCATCAGACCCAGAGTATGCAGATCTTTATGCATTCATTAAATCATAATTTAGTACTGCCTCTCATCAACGTTATACAAAACTTAAAAGAGCAGGCACAAAACATTGGATTTAGTACAGTATTAAAATATTTTTAGAAATGTAATTCATAAAATAAAAAAAATATTAAATTTAGCCGTTTTGATAATTCGCAATTTGTTTGAAAATATGTTATTGAAATGGTATTTTTTAATGAAATTGAACCTTTTGGAATGAATTATTGAAGTCTGACATGTTGATCAATTGTTCATGGACGATTATTTGTGAATTCTTAATAATTAAAATGTTTGAACTTATTTTTATTGTCATTCTGTAACTGTAACTGAAACGTAGTTACTGTGATGGTTAGAAACCATAGACATCATACACATCTATCTACCAGCTTCCAAGAAATAACGCACCATAGGATCAACACGGTTGCAGGCCAAGAACTCGCGAGAGACAGAACCAGGGAGCGAAATGATAGAGTGATTGATTAATTGACGTGAAAAGAGTGAGCTAAATCCTTCTTTCATCTTTTGCTGCTGCTGCGACTCGATCCCATTCGGCTTGGCATGCATAAATGGCGTAAAACTACACTACCATCGATGTTGGGTGGCGTGGCAGCAGCGGCCGCGGTAGCGCTATCAACAACCCAAGAGCAAAGCGAAACGCGCCACAGTACAAAAGAAGAAAAACGGTATAAAAAACAAGCAGATAAAATTACATTTTTGTTAAATTAAATTCACAGCAGTCGGTTATGAAATTGGCTAGGGCGCAGAGCAAACCAACGTGAAGTAGATTTCGACAGTTTTGTTGGAGCACGTGGTGAAAATCAAACGGTCCATTTCGATTGGCATCGGTTTCCCGGCTAACCACCACACTGAACATTCAAATTTGTCATTTGGGTTGATTTTCTAGAAAAAATACTGACCCAGGCTGAGCAGTACAATCCTAATCTTAATTACTCGAAACGTTTCTATACCCGTCGTTTTTCTTATTTTTTACGTTTATTGTTATGATTCTCATATATAACACCAGCGGACAACGCCATTATCATTATCTTTCGCTTTTAATATTTTCTACTTTTTCTCCAGTAAGAACCAGCTCGGGCATTCCAGCATCTTCAGAGTGCTGGAAGCTCAGGTTTCATTCTCTGTCATATACAACGTACATGTGAGTGGAACCGAATGCGACGAAGATCCATAACGAGCTTTTATAATACTTCTTCTGCCATATACAAACACACTCATTTTATGAACACGTGCCCTTCGTCTCCAGCCCCGGCATGATATGAAGTGGGGTACCATCATAAGCATTGGAATAAAAGTCCAACATCCGTAGAGCAGCGCGACACACACTCTATCACGATCTCTCCCTCTCCGACTCCCATCCTCCTACTCCAATTTGTGTCAGTTTCCATTCTTATTATTCTGAGACGATTAAAAAAATCTGCCAAGCCGGTATAAAACCAAACCCCAATCCCAATCTGGTGCACAAAGCCTCAAAAAGCATTATTCGACAAAACAAAATCGAATCAAACGAGTCCCCCCTCGACTCTCAGAGCTTTATCTCCTCCGTTGACGGTTGAAAAATAACAGCAAAAGAAAAAAATCGGCAGATAAAATAAATATTGAGCTTTTCTATGGCCATATAAAAATAAATATCGATACCAATAAACTTATTTCATATTTATTCTATTGGAAATGTCGACAACCGTAGAGGTAGAATTTTGTCCCGGGCGGCATTTGCCTTCGTTAGTCTTGATGCTAGTCCTGGTCGTCGTCGTGGTCGTCGTCATCGTTGGTGTGCAATAAATTAGCAATATGTGCGGCTAATCCGGCGGGAGATCGCGCGCGCTCAGAAGCAGTGAGAGCTCAAGGCGGCGGCCGGCCCAGTAGCAGCCGACCCAGTTGGTCGATGGCAGCAAAATGCGACATCGAAATCTATGTGTACCACCTCCTAATGTTTACAGCGGACGCGAGAATGTAGACAACACTCGCATTATGATTACAAGTCGGTTAGAGGCCGGTGGGGTGATCAAACGATCGAACACGGACGAGGTGCGCAGCGCACACAGAAGCCGTCGCCGTGTGGTGATGGCGCTTTTGTGGAAGGAGGCTTTTCATCAACTTACCGGCGGTCGAAGACGGACGGGCGAACAAATTGAACGCCACGGATTGAAATGGTTGCTGCAGAGATACCTACATTTTGGCTGGATCAGAGTTGTCCGGATAACTGGCGTGGATTCGGTGTGTTGCATAACCAGCAAAATGAAATACAGTTCACGCACTCTGAGCATTCGCCAACGACAAGCGGAATGTGGTTATTATAGTAAAACTTCAATCAGTGACATTAGTTTTGTTTTACAAACTACGTTGCGAGCATGAGCCGGATGGCTGAAAACTGCTACCAATCTAAATGGTTACTCGAATGTCAACGCTAGCTGTTTGAAACATTAGTGATTAAGTAAAGTAGCGTTGAAAATACAATCAACTAACCACAACTCTACACTTGCTAAATAGTGGTCATAGTGGAAGTGTTCTGCATTTAAATACGATGAGGATTGCTTGTTGGGGAAACAACAGCAGCAGCCCCTCCAGAATCAAACTCCAAATTAAGAATTAATTTCAGCTGTCAAAAAGCAGAACCAATCGAACAGTACTGAATTATGCAGTATAAGTATTTTGATCGCTTCATAATTTCTGGAGCAATATGTTGATAACTTTTACTTTTACTTTGATGATGTTCATCACGGATCATATGAAAAATTATCGTTATTGAGGTTACAGAAAAATAATAAACGTTGCCAACGTTTAACTTTTCACTTTTCCACAGAGTCATGTGCCAGCAGCACTAATTTGCTATGGTTTATTTTCTCTCCGCCAGACACAGTGATAATACTCTAACCATCATGTTAATTTATGTATACAGTCGATACCGTAGATGAGCATGATTATGAGCATTGCAGTAGTTGCTACTCCGTGATTGACCAGATTTAGCGAAATTTGCAATTGTTCTAACCCACGATCTTCTGTTCAGTAAGCAAAAATGGTCGCTCTAAAGCCACCGTGCCTCTTATATCACAACAAGCTACGACTGACGATCGTTCATTATCGGTTACAAAAACTATTAAAATGAAATTATTATTATTATTATTTAACTTTATTAATGAGGCTTTCAGCCTTGGGCTGGTTCGCCTCCATTTTATTAAAATGAAATGACAAGCTGTTAACAATGTCTTCCGAGCGGATCAAGCGTACGTCACATTTGTCTAAGCTATATATTACTTTATAGAGTCGATACTGTAGAAGTAGTTTAAGTAGAACATACCTTTCAGTACAGAACATTAGACTATGATATGCAAAGCGGACTGGTTTCCAAACCAGTCCGCTTTGCATATCATAGTCTAATGTTCTGTACTGAAAGGTATGTTCTACTTAAGGGCTTCAGAATTTTATTTTGCCCAGAGGTAGAGTTTACGATTATAAGAACGAAAAAAAAATCTAAAAATTCCGAGTGGTTAATTTTCCTAGCGAAAATACCATAAATATCAACTGGTATGGTGAGGAAAGTTTAACCATCTCTTTTCTTCCTACATTTCACTACAACAGCAAATGTGACCTCACACTACCTAGTGCATAAGGACAGGCAGGCAAAAAAATCATATTACCAGACCTCGGTGTATGAAATTGTGTTTACACCCCTGATGGTGGTGAGGTCGAACCGGTATTATCCTCGGATTAAATCCTGATCACGAATGTCAAGCTGCTATGGTGTCGATGTCGATGTTAATCAATACGATCCTTAACAAACATTTGGCACATCCTTCAATCATACCGAATGTTGATCCGAGTTAGAGCTTACCGCCATGAGAGGGAAAGCGATTTACAGCTTACGAGCACTGCTGCCATCTTTCCTGTTAAACACTTTTAATTCAATCTTCTGTGACTTTTTTAATTGGACCGGTAAACTGTCTAAAATGGTCGGTTTTGTTTTCAGTTTTTGATATTTAACCACCATCAAATACATCCATTCATATATGTTAATGAGTCAAACTTTGCAATAACTTGTTTTCATAAACGTAAATTCATTGCTAGAGGAAATACATCTGGCTCTGCTGTTTTAATGATACTTTAACGATTGCTAGTAGAAATGGTTTTCTTTGTGATAAATTTTGATCACCAAAAGTTTTGTGAAGCAGTCGTTTTGAGTTTCGTGTATTCGATTGTGTTTAATTGTGCTATACTTCGAAGAACACAAGTAAGTAAATACGGTGAATGTGTTTTACCCAGGAAATTTTCGATCTTAAATCATGAAATTCATGTTTTAAATTTTCGTATTCATATATGTGTAAACTAACACAAAATTGTAGAACCTTAAAGGCAAATGGTTGATTTGAGCTTTCCTTAAATGTCTAAAATCCAACATGTGAAAATCTTCATAATAAAGATAATCAACCAACCAACCAACATCCATCATGCAAAAAAAATCTTCTTTGAGACTGAATTCAACTATACAAATGCCATACCATTCGACAACTACAGCATCGGAAATCACCGCTTCAAAAAGTTCAAAGCCATAAAACGAGCAAACCTTCGAGCACATTCGTTCCTTATCATTAATTAGCAAACCATGGTAATTGTTCTCTTGCACTAGCTCTCCAACCTTATGGCCTTCCGAAATAACACGGTGCAGTTTTGTACTGAAGCTGCTCTCAGTCACGATCCTCGCATACGATCGGACCGCGTGCCTTCCGGTGTCGTCTCTATTGCTGTTATCAGTCTCGGGGACGCAATTTGCGCAGCATCCTCAATCGCTCCAAATTACAAGCCACACATCTTCATTCAAAACAGAAATACAAGCCCTCTGCGATAGTAATCTATTGTATTATTAAATTATCCTTTCTCTCCCTCCCTGCAGATCCGAGTGAACGTGTTGGACAAGAACGATAGCCCACCGACATTTCGTGACGTTCCGCTGGTCTTTTCCGTGTCGGAAGATTTAGCCGTGGGACAGACGGTAGCCCAAATAACCGCAACCGATCCGGACACACTGGGCACCCTCGAGTACTCACTGGTGAAAGGCGACACTGGCAAGTTCCTGCTCGAGAAAAACACCGGCCTGTTGAAGCTGCGCGATACACTAGATCGCGAAACCGAAGATACCTACCGGCTGGTGGTCAGCGTTACCGATGGCGTCCAGAGCACCGAAACCACCGTCACCGTTCAGGTAGGCATCCTTTTTTTCCTTTTAGCCCATCTTTGCAGTGCTGCACTCTGTCCAGCTCGTCGTATTCATATAAATTTTAATTTGAGCGATGCCAATCCGATTGCTGGCCATTTGGTTGAGTTTGATTGATTACTGAAGAATCATAAAATGCTTTCCCAGGGCCATTTTTTTTCGGACTGCAGAACATTCGTGTTGATCTGAAACGCATTAAAAAGATTCCACCTTTTTGGGGGAAGCGCAAGCCATCAGCAGCGGGATTGCAGAATTGTGCATACAGATTTTTTTTTCGGGAGAAAGATAAATGGTACTCAGAAAGTATTGCACCTAACAGACAGTATGAAATTTTGTCCAGGTCTAAACATTTCAAAGCAATCAACGTTACGAGATGGATCGCGCATTTGGAGCTTTTTCAATACTTTTTATAATAGAATGCTAACCTTAAATCCAGTAGAATGTTCAGATAATAAAGATAGTTTAATGCTATTAATCTCCCTATCAAAATTTCCGTACCGTTAGAGAAATACTCAGTATTTTCACTGAAGGTGCACTCAAGAGTGCTCTCAAATGCACCTTCAGTGAAAACACAAAAAGTGGCTCTGCGGTGTGGACATTTTTAATTTGATAGGGAGATTATCTATCTATTCTAAGATGGTTCAACTGACAAATCTATTGGATTTAACGTAAGCATTGTATACTAAAAAGTAGTGAAAAAGTCCCCAAATCCATCTACTGACGGTATAATTTTTAAATGAACTAAAATATAACACATTACATTAGAAATCTTTTCCGAAAAGTTAAGAATCCAATATTTAATCATCAGACTTTTGCCGTCAATTTGCCTTGACGAATATTTCTAATTGCCGTTTTCAATTTACTATTATAATTTGCTAACTAAGAATATATCACTGCAATTAGATTCTGCAAACTTTAAAAAAAAAACATTTATCAAAGGTCATAATACAAAGACATAATACTTCATTTGAACTAAGTGCTTAATCTTAGCATTATTGAACGTTTGTTTTTTTTTTTAAATTACCTATTTTCTACGAGAAATTTAAACGACCACCGAACATTTTCCGCTGCCAAGCCAAGAAAGTGCACTTTTTGCAGCTCCAGGCGATTATCCAATATCACTCCACACATCGCGGCAGCAGCGCCGTTAAAGAAGAAAGATTCAGAAAAAAGCCAGACCGCGCATCTCCCGGGCGGACGTAATCTCAGACGATCGCATTCAGGACTGTTTAAAAATTTGCAACTTCTTGATGCTCTCTCGCTTTCTCTCTCTCTCTACTTCCCTCCACCCAAGCTGTCCCCCACGAAAACCATTCGAGTAGTGTGTAATAAAATTGGACACCAAAACGCCGCAAAAATGATGACGAGCTGCGTTTTATTTTCGGAACGGCGGTCTCTCTGCTCCAGTGTCTCCCCACACCATCTCTTGGTTAGAATTATAATACAACTTTTTAAAAGAAACGAGCCCGGTGAATAAAGCGCTCGGCAGTAATTCCTGGCTGACTGACTGACTGACTGAGGGATCGTCATCGTCGTTGTAGTCGTCGTTGTAGTCGTCGTCGTCGCCGTCGTCGTCAGAATGGTAATTTTCAACAATCATTTTTCTTCATCAAACATTTACCACATGTCAAAGTCAAAAAAGGATCTTCCCCGCTTCTCCAGACCCCAGAGTCTCGCTTGTGCTTCAGGAAAGATAGAGTGCGTTGCGTTGGTCTACTGGAGAATGATTTCTGTTTCTGCCCGTCGTCGTTTCGGTATTCGTGAGTACGGGTGAATTTGGCGAACAACCCTGCGCAAGATTTAATACACTCGTTTTGCATTTCGCCACGCAGCGTCGCGAATCTCCCAACCCAACAAGGAAACGGAAGGGACGGAAGAGGTACGGAAGCCGTTCCAGCTGGCAAGTGAAAAGAGATAAGAAACTGGCATGTATGTACGGGGAGTCCACCTTTTAATCTCTTCTCCTTTTTCACTACATAAAAAATTAAATGTAATTCTCGTGTAAAAATCAGGCTCGTTTTCACCCTGGTTAAATGCAGTGAAGCCGGGTCATCAGTGCAAGCGTAGCCGTTAGGTTTGAAGATTTGGATACCTCTCTTACCCGATTACGGTGGTTGATTGATTACGATTGGGATAATCGTAGAGCATTTCAGAACGAAGCTCTGCAAATGTAGTTGCTGGCTGCAAATTTAGTTGGAAAAGGTTGTTTGAGAGCAGGTAAACCACTTGGTTTTTTTATGCCCTTTGAATTTAGTAATAAAGTAGTAACCAACCTTGTCTAAGCTATAGGAAAATTTATTAAGAGGAGGGAGAGGGTGCCGAAAATTAGCCAACATATACTACATAATTTATAGATGGTCCCTTAGTGATGCTATTGAATTCAAGCATATTTTAAGTAATCTGGACACCAACGATTTACTAATTTAATGTTAATATGATTTGATACATTTAACCGAATTGATACTGACAATTTGTACCAATTTAAATTCAGACAAGATATTGCGTCAGGGAAGATATTTTCTAACGGATATGTGGGTCTATGTGTAGAAATTGTTGGAAATATGGAAGGACATAAGGTCAAAAGATCAAAAGTTCAATATGGATAAAGGTCGAAATGTATAAAGTGGTAAATTTGTTGGAGGATCATATCCGAGTGTGGCCAATGAAACACTAGGCGCTCAAAGTACCCGCCAATGATAAATTCCTTGAATTCTTATGTGATTGCAGTTCACTTAAGGTTTTAACTTCTTCGGTTGTTGTGACCTATTTGGTCCTGGGCACTCAATTTGATCAAAAATTGATCATATTTTTTTTAGTTTTTATGTAGTAAATTTCGGCTCATATCACTAATTCTAGTAACTCGCTGGGAATGCTCCCGAAATATACCCTGGTATATGATTTGATGTGTCGTACGATGGGCTTTGGCTCATGACAGATTCTGGATACTTCATCAAGGGTACACGAGACATATCCGGGTGTGATAAATGTGGGTCAGGGAGCTCAATATGACCGCTAATAATCATAATATTTTATTATCATGTGATTTAATATGTTGCATGATGAGTTTTGATCCATGCCAAAAACTGGCGTCTACACAGTATACCTGAAAAATATCCAGAAATAATAAATTGTTTTGGAATTCCCATATGACTTGCGCTTTCACATTATGGGATTTAATCCAAGTCAGAAACTGATCACTTCCTAAAAGGTACCCAGAACATGGCTGGAGCTGGACCTGGGCACTCGATATAACAACCATCGAGCTTGTTTTCGAATTATCTTGTGATTAAACATTTTTGCATGATTTGATAGGATGTGGTCCAATTCATGACTAGGCCACCTCCCACTCGAAACATGCCCGGATGTGGCCAATGTGGTCCTGTTCACACAATTCTTATTTTGAATTTTCATGTATTTTGAGTTGACGTTTGTTGAGTTTTGGCCCACGTTCGAATGCGGATGTATATGGTCCTAAGCACTTGATAAACCTACCTTTGAACTTGTTTTCAAATTCTCAGGTAGGGTAGAGAACTACTACGGCCTAATCGCCCATTTTGGGCCTATCGAGCAGAAAACTTCAAATAAATTCATGATTTTAGAGTTAACAAGTCAATTATGAGTTGGGTACTATACTTATATGAACGTTTGCACCCACAATTCCCAAAAACAAAAGAAGCGCTCCGACCAAATCAATTTTCATCTTTATCCGATAAGCCGAAGTGAATTCAATGGCGTTTCAGTGCGTTAGACCGAGTTTAGAATCTGTAGGCCGAGTTTGGCGTCAAGAAGCAGTGTTAGACTTTTGACAATATCTCAACGATGGCTTCTCTTTATCAAATCTTACGGTACGTACGAAAAGGTAAATAAATTTGGAAGCCATCAGTAATAATAACAATCCGTTTGGTGCTAAACTGCGCTAGATTAAGAAATGCTAAATGCGGGTTGTGTTTAATATGCCGGAAATGGGGTAGTTAACCCTAATTTGACGTTTCGCATGATAGGTTTTTGCCCAAATCAAAAATTGGTCAATTCTACGTGAAGAAAATAAAACAAGCACCAGATCATATGTCCAAATATAGAAATTGGGTTTATTGTGTGTTCCATAGTTTTATTTTAGAGTGTGATGTGTATTGAATCGTGTCACAGCTTATTGACATTCAAAAATTTTGTTTGTGTGTATCATCAAGGTTAGAATTAACTGTTTCAGAGTTAACAAGTCAATTATGCGTTTGGTACGATACTTTAGTTCAATAGCTACCGAACGAAGTCAATGAGAATGAATGTTTGCACCAATTTTTCTCAAAAACAAAAAAAGCGCTCCGACCGAATCAATTTTTATCTTCATCCGATAGGCCGAAGTGAATTCAATGGCGTTTCAATGCATTAGGCCTAATTTAGAATCCGTAGGCTGAGTTTGGGGTCAAGAAGCAGTGTTAGAATTTTAACAATATCTCAACAATAAGTTTCTCTTTAGAAAATCTTACGGTACGTACGGAAAGGTAAATAAATTTAGAAGTCATCTGCAGTGAAAACATTCCATTTTGTGGGGAAAAAAATCCACTCGAAAAACAGAGGCAAAGGGCGGGTTGTGCTTAGTATGTATGTATGTAAAGGAAACCATTCATTGTTACAGGCACAACCATTAGAGAGTGCACTGTCCACCTCGTACGACTTGATCAGGTACAACACCTGATTGTATTCAATTTACCATTGTATGAAGGGCCAAACACGGAGGGCGAACCTGTAAGCAGAGACACTTACGCTTAGTCCGCGGGATCAAAGACAATCTCCTTCCAACAATAAAATCCTACAACCCGGTAATGCACAAGCCATCGCACTAGGAGTTGTCCCAATGAGTGAGGAAGAAGAGCCCGCCTTCAATTCACGTCTGTTAACGACAGGAAGTTGGCAATTACACTGTCCCCATCCAAATCGCTTCAATCGGGTGCCCTGGTTGGACCGTCCCATACCCAGCATATAATGTGTCA